GCGGCGGCTCATCTTCTTGCCGGGGTGCCGGCGAGGTGTCGTATCACCCCAATTCTACAACAGCTGCACTGGCTACCAATTGAGTACCGGATTACTTTCAAGGTGCTGGTATTAACCTTTAAGGCCTTATATGGTCTGGGGCCGGCGTACCTGAGGGCCCGCTTATCCCCCTACCAACCCCAGAGATTACTTCGGTCCGAAGACCAAAATTTGCTTGAAGTCCTCAACATCTGGACTTATCATCTGTCCTCGACTAGGCAGAGAGCCTTCTCGATTGTGGCCCCTTATTTATGGAATGCCTTGCCAGTTGAAACCCGAACCATCTGAGAACTACTTGCTTTTCGGAAAGCCTGTAAAACCTTTCTCTTTTGACAAGCTTTCGATGGGTGACTAACTCGGGACTATGTTCTTGTTTTTATTGTATTTTAAAGTTAATTGTATTGTTTTAATCTACTGCTGTAAACCGCTTTGAGCCAAATTGGGAGTAGCGGTATATAAGTCAAATAAATAAATAAAATAATAACACAAAATGATATAAATAAGAAATTGATGACAGACGGCTATAAAGACAGATATTGCAAAATGATATAAGGCGTTGATGAACTGGTGGATAGATGTTAAACAAAATGATATAAACAAAAGATAGATAGATAGATAGATAGATAGATAGATAGATAGATAGATAGATAGATAGATATAATAACACAAAATGGTATAAATATGTTGAAGATGGATAGATATACAGATAGATGTTAACACAAAACTTCTTGGGTGTTGTGCCTGCAAAATTCCCTCCTAACCCAACCGATCTGGTGCTGAACGAGGCCTCTTTCTTTTGCTAAGCCCTGCTTTCCAGTGGAGTTCCTCATCCGGGAGCATTAACTCTTTTGCCTGACATTGACTGCGTCATAAATGCAGAGCGGGATTTGTGTAGTAATGCAATTGAACAGGGCCAGCATTAGGAGCGACGAGACAAAAGCAATCAATTTTCCCCTTGGAAACAACTTGAGAAATGTATTTCATCCCAATCGTCATTTGGAAACTTTCCCGATCTCAGGAATAAATCCTTATTTCAGGGGGAGGGAGAGCGGAGGCATTTCCCCTTCACACTGCATACCCAATTGAGGCATTGAGAGGGTTCATGTTTTAAGATCCTCTGCATTGGAGAGGCTTGGAGCACTGCTTTATTCTTATTCTTCAGAGAACCATCAATAACTAATGAGTAACATTTGCAATACGTTTTGTAAGCAAAACGAGAGTGCATCTGCACTGGAGAATTAATGCAGTTTGATACCACTTCAACTGCCATTGAGGGAGATGTAGTTTTAAATAGATTTTCCAGGAATGCTTCTAATGACTGTAAGTCCCATATGTCCTGATTTGCAGAGACACGTGTCTGCAATAATGAATTCCCTGGAGTAGAACTGGCTAGTTAGCACTGCACTCCCTCATTTTCCAGCTGCTAGAAGTCTGTGTTTGAAACAGAAAAGCAGGGAAGACCGGCCCATAAACACTTTCCAATTAATTTATTATTTATTTATTTACAGTATTTATTTTCCGCCCTTCTCACCCCGCAGGGGGCTCAGGGCGGATTACAATGTACATATACATGGCAAACATTCAATGCCATAGATACACAACATATATAGAGAGACATACAGAGGCTATTTAACTTTCCAGCTTTCATGAGGGTATTCTGGCCACCAGGGGAGCTGTCCCTTCATCGTCCATTTGAGACACTGATGGAGTACTTCCTCATTTTTGGCTTGCTTGCTTGCTGGAGATTTTATGGCATCATGAATTAGTTAAATTAGCCTCCCTGCATAAGCGGTACCTACATTTCCTACTTGACAGATGCAACTGTCTTTTGGGCTGCAAAGGTCAACAGCAAGCTACATAATGGTTGGAAGCTCACTCCAACCCAAGCTGGTTTTGAACTCATGACATTTCGGTCAGTAGAGATCTTAATGCAGCTGACTCCCAGCCAGTTGAGCCACTCTCAGTGCTCAAGATCAGAGATATGAAACCATAGTTCTGCCATTGTTAGCTCACCACTGGGATCACCACTGGGACCACCTTTACTGGCTTATGCCAGAGTATTTGCAGTTCGATCTTTAAATCCTCATATCGTGTCAGCGTTTCCAGTTGTTTCTCTACAATCCGGCTGTCATCTGCAATTGTGACATCAACAATCCATACTTTGTTTTTCAACACGATTCTGAGGTCAGGAGTATTATGCTCCAAACCTCTGCCTGTCTGAATCCTTATTATTATTATTATTATTATTATTATTATTATTATTATTATTATTATTAGCACCCTGTTGTCACCTATTGCTGGCCCGCAATAAATAGCCTTTGTAGTAAGTATCCATCTCATGGCGTCTTCCTTGCACCACTGTCTGGGCCTTTGAGGGGACTCCTGAGCTTGTGCAGAGTTTGCCTGGAGTGCTGGAGAGCCTGCGGCCCTACAGCATGGCTCTAATGTGATTGAATGAGAGGAGCTGCAGTTTGGGACGGCACCAGCATTCTTAGGCAGAGAAGTCAAAGTAAAACTATAGCTCCTTGAGGTGTGGCGGTTCAAGTGGTGTCAAAGTGCATTAAATGCACAATGTAGATTTGGAAAATGCATCTACATTGTTTATAAATGAGTTGAGGCTTGCAGCGTAGATGGGTTCTCCGTATCAGAGAGTTCCCTTTATTCCAAAAGCCCAAGAAAGAAAGAGGAAAGGCTCATGAATAGAAAGAGGATTGAATATATATGGCTCTCTGCAGCCAGCTCTCCGTCTTCCCTGCCAACTTGCACAATATTAATTTCGTCTAGATTACTTTCTCTTTCCCTGACAATGGAGGCACGGAAAGGCCGCTGCTTGTAATGGAGACCAAGGGAAGCAATTACAGGGATATCCAAGTGCAAATCATTTACAAGTCGAGTCGCTGATGATGACGGCCCAATGCTGTGTGTCCGTGCGCATTGTGCTTGGCAATGAATGCCTTATAGTGAACCCAGGCCACGATTTGAACCCAATCTATGCAAATCCCCCAAGAAGGATCAGTGTGGAAAACGTGCTGCTTCTTTGGCATTAAGTGCAGGGCTATAGAACTCACTTTGACTGCCACGTCTCAATGCTATGGAATAATGGGAGTTGTATGTAGTGTCGAAGGCTTTCATGGCTGGAATCACTGGGTTGTTGTAGGTTTTTCCGGGCTATATGGCCATGTTTTGGAGGCAATTTTTCTCCTGACGTTTCGCCTGCATCTATGGCAAGCATCCTCACTACCTCTGAGGATGCTTGCCATAGATGCAGGCGAAACGTCAGGAGAAAAACTGCCTCCAGAACATGGCCATATAGCCCGGAAAAACCTACAACAACCCAATGGGAGTAGTAGTTTCGCAAGGTCTTTAGCCAAGCTCCTCACTAAACTGCAATTCCCAGGATTCCATACCATTGAGCCAAGGCAGTTCAAGTGGTGTCAAACTGCATTCATTCTACAGTGTAGACGCACTTTTAGATCTGTAACGTTAGCATAACATGTTTCTTTATTTGGTTCTCCCCTCTCCATTACAGTTTAGTTGGATGGGGGATTCAGAGCGTATTAGTTTGTATAGGATTTCATGGATATGAACAAACTGATAGCTTTGGCCTCATCTACACTGACATATAATTCAGTTCAATGCGGTTGTGCTGCATTATATGGTCTACACTGGCCATATAATGCAGTTCAGACTGGCTTAGATGGCAATATAGATCCAGCCCTTGAGTAAAGCGAAATCAAACTCTATCTAATCCCAGCTAGTTTACCAGCTGTTAGGTCCTTGTGTGTTATTGTTTATTATGTGATTTCTATTAATTGTATTGCTTTTTGTTTATTGCTTTTCTGTTTTATTGATGTGTTGTCAGGCTTGGCCTCATGTAAGCCGCTCCAAGTCCCTTGTTTATTATTATTATTATTATTATTATTATTATTATTATTATTATTTTAAGGAAGATGGGGATTTATTCATTTTTGAGACATTGTGTGCAGAGGGGAAATTCTGCAGTTTCAGGCTTTGATGAGAAATAGTAGAAGTTTAGTTAAAATGTGTTCGAATGTGCTGGGACCCACCTTGAGCCATACAGAGGGAGAGGTGGGCCAGAAATAAAATGATGATGCAGTGGGTTCAACCCCTGTGCCGGCAGGACTGAAGACTGACAGATCGCAGGTTCGAATCTGGGGAGAGGCGGATGAGCTCCCTCTATCAGCTCCAGCTCTTCATGCGGGGACATGAGAGATGCCTCCCACAAGGATGATAAAAACATCAAATCATCCAGGTGTCCCCTGGGCAATGTCCTTGCAGACGGCCAATTCTCTCACACCAGAAGCGACTTGCTCCTGACACGACAAAAAATATATATTATTATTATTAAGAGGAAGTTGAACCATTGAACAAAACACTTAGGGCTAGTTTTGGAGCCTTTGGGGCTAGTTTTCAGATCTTTAGTTCTAGTTTTGTCGTACTTAGGGCTAATTTGGGCCCCTTAGGACTTATTTGGGGTCTTTAGGGCTAGTCTGGGATCTTTAGGGTTGGTTTGAGGGTCTTTAAGGCTAGTTTGGTCGTCTTTAGGGCTAGTTTGGGGTCTTTAGGGCTAGTTTTGGAGTGTTTAGGAATACTTTATGGTCTTTAGGGCTAGTCTGTGGGTATTTGAAGCTAGTTTGGGGGTCTTTAGGGCTAGTTTTGGGGTACTTAGGGCTGGTTTGTGGTATTTGGGGCTTGTTTTGGGGTCTTTATGGCTAGTTTTGGGGTGTTTGGGGCTTGATTTGGGGTCTTTAGGACTAGTTTGGGGGTCTAGGGTTAGTTTTGGGGTCTTTGGAGCTAGTTTGGGGCTTGATTTGGGACCTTTGGGGCTGGTTTGGTTGTCTTTAGGGCTTGTTTTGTGGTATTTAGGGCTAGTAGCCAAGCAGGTCATGCCTTCAGTGACACATTTGGTGCTGTTGTCCATTTATGCAGCACTGCTCTGACTCGGTATGTCTGTGCCATGCTGCTTATCCAAACCTCTGCCTGGCGGGATGGTGATTCATGCCTCCAACTTACAGAACTCAAGCAAGCTTAGCCTTGGAGGGAAAGGCAAAGAGGAGAGAAACACCTCTAAAGAGCACAGTGAAGAACCTCAGGAGGAGCATCTCTATGGCAAAGAGCATCGAATGGGAGTGATGTGGCGGGTCTTTCTCCCTCACTCCGGCTGGTGCTGAAGAGCTGGCACGCTCCCTGCATCCTTTCCTAAGGGATCAGGCTCTGCCGGAGGATGGATGGATGGATGCAGGAAAGAGCGAAAGGGAGAGAGGATTACTGGGGCTGAGCCTTCCCCTCTTCCCTCTCCTCCTCTCCTCCTGTGAGGACCACAGAGGCAGCTCTCAAGGGAGCATCCTTCCTCTCCAACAGTCTTTCAAAGGGACTGCGAGGCACAAAAAGGCTGGACGCGCAAGCAAGCCGGGATGGACCTTTGGAGAGCTCCTAGCCATTTCCATGGAAGGAGAAGTGCCCATCCCTGCATCCCATCCACCACCCACAGATGCCGAAGGCTTCTCGGTCCTGCCATTGCCTTGCCGGGGAGACTTCGCCTGAACACAGCCTGTGTTTAGTGCAGTAAGTAACTTTGCAAAAGTTGGCTTGGGAATTTGGGTTGCAAGAACAGCACCAACAAAATGGAAGAGCTAAAATATAGATCATGGCTTCAGTTTAGGGTTATTTAGTGTTTATACCTGAAGTGCTGGTTGTATTTTAATCTGTGATGTGTTTTATTATGTTTTAATTGTCTTATGGTGTTTTGATTGATTTTGATTACTGACTAAGTCCATTTCCTTTTTGCCCCAATGCACCTGCATGCTTTATACCTTGTTGTTAGTTGCTTTGAATCCCTGATGGGGCCAAAAAGTGGGATATACATACATTAATTGTTGTTAGGTTCTTGTGGGTTTTTTCGGGCTATAGGGCCATGTTCTAGAGGCATTTCTCCTGACGTTTCGCCTGCATCTATGGCAAGCATCCTCAGAGGTAGTGAGGATGCTTGCCATAAATGCAGGTGAAACGTCAGGAGAAATGCCTCTAGAACATGGCCCTATAGCCCGAAAAAACCCACAAGAACCTAGAGATTCCAGCCATGAAAGCCTTCGACAATACATTAATTGTTGTTGTTGTTGTTGTTGTTATTATTATTATTATTATTTATCACAGTGGGTATATTTGCTTTGTGATTTGTCATTCATGTTGTCATATATATATATATATATATATATGCATGCTTCGTGGGTTGCATTTAATGATGCCGCACAATATTTCCAAAAAGGCTTGGGGAATAATTGTGATTTCTCCCAGCTCCAGCATTATTTTGAAGAACAGAATCATATAGTTAGAAGGGACTGCAAAGGCCATCTAGTCCAACCCTCTGCCATGACTGACTGTATGGGATTGTTGAAATGTGGAATCATTGTGAACCCATAAAAAGACTGCAGAATGCTGCAGATGTGGGAAGAATAGCTGCAAGATCAAGGGGAGAAGAGAGAGGGTTGGCTGGCTTCTCGTACCTTCTTTCGTTGCCTGTTTTGCTTTGGGTAACAACTGGCATCAAGCCGACTGTAACTTATGGTGATCCCATATGTTACTCCATCATTAATACCTCTGTTTAGGTCTTGCAGAGTCCTAGCAACTCCAGATTCCTCGGCTGGATCCCTCCATCTCAAAGGCAGCTTTCCAAGCATTATTGCCTTTTCTAGGGATAGTCCTTTCTTCTTATATGGCCAAAACGTCATAAACTTAGTCTATTCAACTTGGCTTCTAAGGATAGTTCAGTCTGGATTTACTCCAGGATCATAGAATCCTAGAATCCTAGAGTTGGAAGAGACCTGGTGGGCCATCATCCAGTCCAACCCCATTCTGCCAAGAAGTAGGAAAATTGCATTCAAAGCCCCCTCCCCCCCCCCCCCCCCCCCCCGCCCTGACAGATGGCCAACCAGTCTCTACTTCAAAGCCCACAAAGAAGGAGCCTCCACCATACTCGACAAGGGGCAGAGAGAGAGAGAGAGAGAGAGGGAGAGGGAGAGGGAGAGGGAGACTTTCACTGCTGAACAGCTCTCTCAGTTAGGATAGTTAGGATGTTCTTCTTCATGTTCAGGTGGAATCGCCTTTCTTGTAGTTTGAAGCCATTGTTCCATTGCGCCCTAGTCTCCAGGGCAGCAGAAAGGAAGCTTGCTCTCTCCTCCCTGTGACTTCCTCTCACATATTTATCCATGGCCATCATGTTTCCTCTCAGCCTTCTCTTCTGAAGGCTAAGCATGCCCAGCTCTTTAAGCCGCTCCTCATAGGGCTTGTTCTCCAGACCCTTGATCCTTTGAGTCGCCCTCCTCTGGACACATTCCAGCTTGTAAACGTCTCCCTTCAGTTGTGGTGCCCAGAATTGGACAAAGTATTCAACTGTGGTTTGACCAAGGCAGAAGAGAGGGGGAGTATGGCTTTCCTGAATCTATATACTAGATTCCTATTGATGAAGGCCAAAATCCCATTGGCTTTTTAGATGACCAATTTGTCTTTAATGGTGCTGCAGTCCATTGCATCTGTAGATTGATCACTACCTTCTATATTGATTGCTTTCAAACTTCACAGGTTCCCAATGTCTACCAGACCTCCATCTTCTCCCCTTCCTCTTCTCTTCTTTGGTGTTTCAAAGCTGAAATGGAAAACTCATTGGAAAGCATCAAGAGGGTCCTCCCAATGTCTTGTCCATCCCATAATTTGGTCTGTTCCTCAATAAGAAAAAGCTGTTTATTATGTATTGGTTTAAAAATAGCATCCTTACCCACCTTCATCAGCATCTTATTCTCCTCCAAATAAGTGGTGTCATCTAGCTAAGGATGGGCACGCAATCGAAGGACCAGATTTGCCCTTCTCTTGAGATGGACACATTATCCTGGCATTATTTAATTTTTGAAAGTCTTCTAAGGCTTTTCGTTAGAGCAAAATGGGTTTGCTGCAGATTGAGGACATGCAGATGGAACAGAAGTAACTTATGGAAATTTGTGGTCATCGGACGGGACTGTCATTGAGCAGAAGCAGCCGGGAGAGAACTTTAAGTACAAATATGAGATGCACTCAAGATGGTAAACATGGGTCAACTTGGGCCCTACCTAAGGGGGAAGAGGAAAGGGTTTGAGGCTGTGAGGAATGGTGGGAGTTGAAGTCCAAAACACTTGGAGGATCCAACTTGGCCCAAGCCTGCAGTAAAGATTACTGCAGCCCTATACACAGTGCGGACAAATCCCACTGGAACGAATAGGTTTCACTGCTCAGTCAGATCACATAGGATTTGCTTAATCCATGGGTGGCTTTTTAGAGATGCAACTTTGAGGCACAGATGGAGAGGCTACCTCTGAATAGGCACCGAAGGGGATAATCCTATGTGGAAGACCAAGTTCAGACCTTCTCATGAACTTCTGGAGGCCGTTGGCTGACCTCCTATGGGAGCAGGATAATAAGACAGATGTGTCTTTGGTATGATCTAGCTGCAGGGCTTTGGAAAACTTTAATTCTTCTGCTCACACTGAATGTGTGGCTTCCTCGCAGGTCTCACAAACTAACAGCACCAATATAGCAATGGATTTGAAGGCTATAAATCTGGTTTTCCTTGAAACTAATCCATGGGATGGTTATGTCTTTTAATAACACGTTCATAGAAGCGTACTAATAATGTTGTAATATAATATATTATGTATACTACAACTTATAATATAATGCAATATATTATATAATACCAATAGTATAATATACTAATATATTGTATATATTGTAGTATAATAATATTATATTATATTATATATTATATATATGACTAATAATATTTCAGTATAATAGTATCGTACAGTATTATGCTATGTTAGGTGTCATATAATATGTTATATATACTGCAACTTATAATACAATATATTATATGATACTAACAGTATTATTGTGCCACATGCACAATGGAGGACCTTCTTGCAGCAACACCAGAGGCAGTCCAAGTGGCCAGATACTGGTCAAAGGACATTTAATCAACTACCAAACTTGCAAATTTTGTGTTTTGTCTGTTTGTTTGTTTTGTTCTGTTAGAAATGTAATACAATTGACTGGTTGCCCTGACATGACAAATAAATAAATAACAGTATAATATACTATTTTTTTTTTGTCGTGCCAGGAGCGACTTGAGAAACTGCAAGTCGCTTCTGGTGTGAGAGAATTGGCCGTCTGCAAGGACGTTGCCCAGGGGATGCCCAGATGATCTGATGTTTTTATCATCCTTGTGGGAGGCTTTTCTCATGTCCCCGCTTGGAGAGCTGGAGCTGACAGAGGGAGCTCATCCGTCTCTCCCCGGATTGGAACCTGTGACCTGTCGGTCTTCAGTCCTGCCGGCACAGGGGTTTAACCCACTGCACCACCGGGGGCTCCTACTTTAATATTATTAATATACTAATAATATATTGTATATATTGTAGTGTAATAATATAATACAATATATTATATATTATACTACTAATAATATTAAAGTATAACACTATAGCACAATACAATATGTAATGCTAATATTATGCTATGCCAATAATATTATATTATATATATATATGTATAATAATAATGTAATTCAATATATTACTAATAATACAATATAGTAATAAATAAAAATAATATTGCAATATAATACTAATATATTCAATATAATATTACTACTACTACTACTACTACTACTAATAATAATAATAATAATATATTATAATACTACTGTTTAAATATTGTATATTTTAAGTTGTATTGTAATGTTTTGAATTGTGAGCTGCTTTGAGTCTCTGTATGGAGAGAAATGGGTCCCCTAGTGGCACAGCGGGTTAAATTGCTGAGCTTCTGAACTTGCTGACCGAAAGGTCAGCGGTTTGAATCCAGGACGTGGGGTGGGCTCCCGCTGTCAGGACCAGCTTCTGCCAATCTAGCAGTTTGAAAACATGCAAATGTGAGTGGATCAATAGGTGCCGTTTCTGCAGGAAGGTAAGGGCACTCCATGCAGTCATGCCAGTGGCCACATGACCTTGGAGGCGTCTATGGACAACGCCAGCTTTTTGGCTTAGAAATGGAGATGAGCACAAGAATCCCAGAGTCGGGTACAACTAGACTTAATGTAAAGAGAAAACCTTTACCTTTACTATGGAGAGAAAAAGTGGAATATAAATAATAATAATAATAATCATCATCATCATCTGAGGAACATCATAAATGAAGGGACTATTGAGGAGGGTGGATGAAATATAGTTAGGATGGAGACATGTTTCTTTCTGTCTCATTGTGTATGTGTATGTTTTCTTCTACCATCCTTGTCTCTCTAGCTAGCTTTGGTCTGATGCTGTCCTGGGAGGCCTGGTGACAACCCTCAGAAATGCCTATTCTCTCTGGAGGCAGCGAACATGATTTCAGCTACACTTCTTGCACCTCCTTGAATCATCTGATCCCCGTCTCAGTGGTCGAGACACCTCCAGCCAAAGGGGTCCACTACCAGAGGGCCAAGAGGGTCTGGTGCCCCAAACAACTCCAAACAACTGACTTGAGGAGCGAGATTATGGTCAACGTAGGAGGCATCAAGTATCTCTTGCCTTGGAGCACCTTGGACGAGTTCCCCTCATCCCGGCTGAGCAAGCTCCGGTTCTGCAGTGGGTACGAGGAGATAATCCAGCTCTGCGATGACTATGATGAGGACTCCCATGAGTTCTTCTTTGACCGCAGCCCCAGTGCGTTCGGGGCCATCGCCAGCTTCTTGGCGGCGGGGAAGCTGATGCTGCTCCGTGACATGTGTGCCTTGTCCTTCCAGGAAGAGCTCAAGTACTGGGGGATTGAGGAGTCCAGCCTGGAGAACTGCTGCTTCCGGAAGCTCTTCCAGAAGGCAGAGGAGCTGGCCGATCAACAAAGGGAGGAAGAGATGGAGATGAACAAAGTGATGACCTGCATCCTGGAGGAAGAGACCAAGACCTTCATGTCCAGGCTGAGAGACATGGTGGAGAACCCGCAGTCAGGCCTCCCTGGGAAGATCTTTGCTTGCCTCTCCATCCTCTTTGTGGCAACCACGACAATAAGCCTTTGTGTCAGCACCATGCCAGACTTAAGAGAAGCAGAAGACAGGGTGAGTAAGTTCTTACTATTACTACTACTAGTACTATTATTACATTTATTTCTTCTTCTTTCTAAGCTGTATTTTTTGGCCTTTGCACATGTGGATGCCATCCTGCAATCTCCAAATGCAGTGCTGTGGTATCTATCTATCATCTATCTATCTATCTATCTATCTATCTATCTATCTATCTATCTGTCTATCATCTCCCTAGCTACCTACCTACCTACCTACCTACCTACCTACCTACCTGTCCATGTATTCATGCATCCATGCATCCATCCATCCATCCAATTAACCATCTATCCATCCATCCATCCATCCATCCACCTATTCATCCACTCATCCATCCATCTTCTCCTTTCTAAGCTATTTCCCCAATGGAAGGGTTAGCATTGTGACTGTCATTTCCACAGGACTTTGTTTTGGGCCTCCACAGGTCTCATGGCAATGTGCATGTCTTTGTTGATGGTGTCCATCCACTTTTTTTTTGGTCTTTATCCATGTGGTTGCCGTCCTGCAATCTCCAAATGCAGTGCTATTTGTGCAGCTGATGTTGATTCTCTTCTCATGACATAGTCTTGCTTCCTATATTTTCTTGCTGATTGCTTTTATTCCTCATCTTTTATCCTCCTCATCATCATCATCGTCATCATCATCATCAGTACAGTAGGCCCTCTACATCAGTATAGTTAACCCTTGACATTTGTGGACATAACTTTGGCAGATTCATGGGTTTGAACAATCTCTAGGAACCCCTAGGTCCTTCTGTACAACTTTATGGCCAACTTCCGCCATAGAATTGTGCTGGAGAGCCTAGAGATGCTAGAGAGAGAATATACCATAGTAGTCATAGTAGAACAGTGGTTCTCAACCTTCCTAATGCCGTGGCCCCTTAATACAGTTCCTTATGTTGTGGTGACCCCCAACCATCAACTTATTTTCATTGCGACTTCACAACTATAATTTTGCTCCTATTATGAATCATCTTGTAAATATCCAATATGCAGGATGTATTTTCATTCATTTGGCACAAATACTCGATACGCCCAAATTTGAATACTGGTGGGGTTGAGGGGAGGATTGATTTTGTCATTTGGGATTTATAGTTCACCTACAATATCAAAGAGCATTCTGAACTCCACCAATGAGGGAACTGAACCAAACTTGGGACACAGAGCTCCCATGACCAACAACAAATTCTGGAAGAGTGTGGTGGGCATTGATCTTGGGTTTTGGAGTTATAGTTTACTTACAGAGAGCACTGATGCATCTGGATCAAACTTGGCATGAATACTCAATGTGACCAAATGTGGACACTGGTGCAGTTTGGGTAAGATAAACCTTGACATTTGGGAGTTGTAGTGGCTGGGATTTATAGTTCACCTATCATCAAAGAGCATTCTGAACTCCACCAATGATAGAATTGGGCCAAACTTCTTACACGGAACCCCCACGACCAACAGAAAATACTGTGTTTTCTAATTGTCTTTGGTGACCCCTCTGACACCCCCTCGCGACCCCCCTAGGTTGAGAAACACTGTAGTAGAAGATCATCATCATCATTATTATTATTATGTTTATTAAGTTTATTTATATCTCACCTTATTTCTCCATACGGAGACTCAAAGCGGCTCACAATTCAAAGTATTACAATACAACATAAAATATACAAATATTGAACAGTATTTAACATAATTACTATTGAAAATAATTCAAGTTAAAACCATAAAAGTGTATAAAACCACAGCACTTTCTGATTTAAGCACCTTCATCTTTAAACGTCTGTCGGAATAAAAAAAATTCCATGAGAGGTGTTATCTTAGGTAAATAAATCTATAGCAATTTTAACTGACATTTTCCCACTTTTGTGGGGTTTTGTGCAAATGTGGGAGACTGGCTGTATTATTTATGACCAACATGCATCTCATCTGCACAGTGATTGATTTTGTCCAGGCATGGGCAAGCTTCTGCCCTCCAAGTATTTTGGACATCAACTCCTACCGGCTGTTAGGAATTGTGGGAGTTGAAGTCCAAAGCACCTGGAAGACTGAAGTTTGCCTATGCTTGTTCTAGACTGTGCATACATTTTCCTCTCGTCCTTTGTCCATGGTTGATGTTCATATTTATACTCGTTACATATACTCAGTATTGGACATGACAGCTCAAGCCCTGGCATCCCGTTGGTGGCTTCCATGCACCTCAGTGTAGCTTATACGTACAACTCCATTTTTAGAAAGCACACATAAGGCTATTTTCTTCCTCTTGAGCTTTGTCCAAAATCTGCCCACCAACAGATGTCCCTAAAGAGAGGTTTCTTATATTGACGGTGCTGGGACTGACTGTCCATGCCTGGTTAAGATGGAGTGTATTGGGTTTCAACAGGCTCTTTTTGTGCTGGGTGGTCTCCTCTTGTCCAATATATATTAGCTAATCAACACTAGAAAGCAACCAGATGCTGCTCCAAGAGCCTGGAAATTTAGTTTGAAATATTCCCAGCTAATAGATAGCAGTGTTAATCAGCTATAGCAAAACAATATTTTTAGCACATTCTTTTCATGGTGTGAAAATCTACAAAAGCCCTTTTGCTGTTTCTATGGGGCACTAATTACTTCCCATTATAATTGCAAAACTCTCCAGATTTCCCGTACAAGAGTTCATCCAATTTGAAATGTGCATGCGTGTCCAGAATCAAATCTCTGTGCACTTATCAATGCGGTGTTTCCCCATTAAAAGGGTAAAGGTAGTCCCCTGACATTAAGTCCAGTCATGTCTGACTCTGGGGTGTGGTGCTCATCTCCATTTCTAAGCCGAAGAGCCAGCGTTGTCCGTAGACACCTCCAAGGTCATGTGGCCGGCATGACTGCATGGAGCGCCGTTACCTTCCCGCTGGAGCGGTACCTATTGATCTACTCACATTTGCATGTTTTTGAACTGCTAGGTTTCCCCATTACACATTCTATTTTTCTTCCCAAGACAAGACAAAATAGCTCTACATTGCGTCTGGGATTTGCCTTGAACAGAATCCAAAGTTTGGCTGTCTCTGCCGTCCGTGCCTTCCTCCTCTTAATTTTGCCATCATGATAAACAAAACAAACAAACAAACAAGTAACTAAGAAGTTTGTGCTGGCTCTGACATTTATGGCAATGTTACAGACTTACCACAAGAGATTTTAAAAATATATGTTTTAATTGAATACAAGATAACATAATATTTGAGCAGATAATAAATTTCTGTTGTGAGCATACAGGTATGGTTGGTTCTCTTACCAATTGAGATCCTAACAATAGTACTGATCATTTATTATATTTATATTTATTTATACACCGCTTTATCTCCCTAAAGGGGACTCAAAGCAGCTTGAAATAAAAACATTAGCATACAATTTATATATATAATTTTTATTTATACTCCACTTTATCTCCCCAAAGGGGTCTCAAAGTTTGACATAAAARCATTAGCATACAATTTCAATTATTATTATTATTATCATTATTATTATATATTACTATACATTACTTATTATTATTATATTTATTTATACCCTGCTTTGTTTCCCCAAAGGGCACTCAAAGCAGATTGACATAAAAGCATTAGAATACAATTTCAAATAGTATTATTATTTTATATTATCATATATTATAATATATACTATTATTATTATATTTATTTATACCCCACTTTATCTCTCCAAAGGGGACTCAAAGCATCTTGATATAAAAGCATTTGCACAGAATTAAAAATGCACAAATATACAAAAATTAAAACAGAATTAAACATAAATTGCAATAAGACAATTTGGTGAAAATCCATCGAAACGATTTTGAACCCGCTTTCTGAGTGCCGTCAGATCTGCAGCACAGAAAAGCCATCTTCTCCCCAAAAGGGGAAAGGGCCATAGGCAGAGGTCAATGCAATGCTCTGCATTAATTTGTAGAGCCGGCCAGCTTTGCTTGTAATCCAGGAGCTTTGCCTTCTCTCTGAGCATATCCACCCACGCATGCACGGAGATTTCTGGGCTGATTTCCCCAAATATATGGGATATTTCCAAAAAATTGGAAAGGAGAAAAGAAGGGCGGTATTGTCAGGTGGCCTCCCATCCAAGAACTAACCAGGGCAGACCTTGTGTGACTTCCAAAATTAGATTAGATTTGCACTATTAAGGTGGGCGACAGTCCTCCCTTCAAAGAAGGATGGTTTTCAATCCCCTTTCTTATGATGAACACATATGCTTGGCCTTTCACACTTTAGAACAGGCATGGGCAAATGTTCTAACTTGGGGGGCCACATGCTAGCACTTCTCGCTAGGACAGTGGTTCTCAATCTTCCTAATGCTGCGACCCCTTAATACAGTTCCTCATGTTGTGGTGACCCCCAACCCTAAAATTATTTTCGTTGCTACTTCATAACTGTAATTTTGCTACTGTTATGAATCGTCATGTAAATATCTGATAGGCAGGATGTTGGGAGTTGTAGTTGCTGGGATTTATAGTTCACCTACAATCAAAGAGTATTTTGAACTCCACCAGGGATAGAACTGACCCAAACTTGGCACACAGAATGCCCATGACCAGCAAAAAATAATGAAAGGGTTAAGTGAGCATTGGCCTTGAGCTTGGGAGTTGTAGTTCACCTATCTCCAGAAAGCACTGTGGACTCAAACAATGATAGATCTGGACAAACTTGGCACGAATACTCAATATGCCCAAATTTGAACACTGTTGGAGTATGGGGAAAATAGACCTTGACATTTGGGAGTTGTAGTTGCTGGGATTTATAGTTCACCTACAATCAGAGAGCATTCTGAACCCCACCAATGACAGAATTGGGCCATACTTCCCACACAGAACTCCCATGGCCAACAGAAAATACTGTGTATCATGATGGTCTATGGTGACCCCTCCGACCCCCCTCTGCCCCCCAGGCATGTAGCCGGGGGGGGGGGGGGCTCGGGGGGCTTCAGCCCCCCCCCCCCGAAATTCTCATGGTGGTTCGCGAAAAGGCCTTATTG